ACAAAAGGGTCTTGCTTTGCAGTTCAGGCTGCCTTGAACTCATTTTGTAGCCCAGGCTGATCTCAAACTCATTGTGGGTGGTTCTCCTGCCTCAGTCTCCCCTGTGCTGGGATTACTGTTACGCACCACCACAGCCAGCCTAGTTGAGTCTTATTTTTTTATTATTCATTATAAAATGAACTGTATCATTTTCAAGGATCAAAATGAAGACCATAGTAGTCATGCTCAGGTTTTTGGTCACATTCAGGAGATTTGGAGGCTATTTTGTTGATCTTCTTTTGGACTAAAGATGACTAAATTGTCTTACAGTTTCTTTGGGGAAATAAAACATTGAACACTGTTAGAAGTACAGAGACCTCTGCAGACTGCAGGAAATGACAAAAAATTTTGTACTTAAAGTGGGAATCAAAACAGTGTGTTAGAAAAGGTTTTGAAAAAGTATTGCATAGCTAAATGAAAGTACTCAATAGATGCAATATGCTCTTTCTAGTGGCTAACTAAACTTCAAAATTTTTGGAAATTGGCTACTTTTAACAGTTGCTACTACTCCTGTTTTTAATGCATGTTAGATATTTTCCTCTTCTAAGTCCATAGTTTAATGGTAGTTGAAATTCTTAAAGTAGAAAAATACAGAATTATTTTCTGAAAATAAATTACTTAGTGGAAGTAAATGTGGGGCCCATATGTTATAAATTGGTCTTAAAGTAGTCTTCAACTTTCTGAAATGAAAATCACTCTGTTGTAGCCTAGTGTAAGCGGAATGGATCCGCCTTTTGGGGATGCCTTTCGAAGCCACACCTTTTCGGAACAGACTCTGATGAGCACAGATCTCTTAGCAAACAGTTCTGATCCAGATTTCATGTACGAACTGGTAAGCAACATTTTCTTGGTTTTAGCTTTGATTGATTTGAGGTAAAAATTTAGTATAGTTCTTCAGTCTATAAATGTTTGAAAAGAAAAAAGGTTTGGGCCAGGTTTGATTCTTGGAGTATAGGTCTCGTAATTTTAGAAGGATATATAGACACATCAAAGATACTAAGAATGAAGGTTATCTTAAGTATCTTCAAGTCCAGTTCTTCATAAGAAAAAAATTTTTTTTAAATGCTGACCTTGGTGTGGTGATGTACAAATGTGATTCTAGCACTTGAGAAGCTGAAGCAGGAGGATTGCTACAAGTTTGAGGCCAGCATGGGTTACATAATGAGTTTAAGATCAGCCTGAACTAAATAGTGAGGCACTGCTTGAAAAATTATTCAACCATTAGGAATATTTTAACTTCCTATACCCAAGAATTATTAAAAGGTCATAGAAAAGATATCCTATAGCTGAGTTTCATTGCTTCTTGGCCTTTTGGCTAAAATCAAGTATATAGCTGAGTTCCAGTTCTCCTTTGCCTCTAAGTGCCTGCTTAAGAAATACATCCTTTTTTTTTTTTAATATATCCTTTTATAATAAAAATGTAAGGTTAGGGTCCAACCTGATAGCTCAGTGGACTAAAGCACTTGCTTAGGCAGAGTGCAGTGGCCAGGGTTTGATCCCCGGCATGCCATGCTGGCCCCGCCCATGGGGCACACTGATATGACGATGGAGACTGAGCATGGTGGTACATGCCTGTAATACTGGCACTAGGGAGGCTGAAAACAGGAGAATCACTACACGTCTGATCTATGTAGTGTAGACCCTGTCCTAAATACAGAAGAAAAGATAAAGGTGTAAGGTCTTCATTAGTTGCTGCTTTTTCTCTTTTAGAAGGGTCTCACCATGTTGCCCACACTGGCCTGTAACAGGAAATCTTTCTGCCTCAGCCTCATAAGTGTCATTATTATTTGGTGCCTTTTTGTGTACGTACTACTAACATTAAACTCAGAGCAAGTTCTCTACCCCTGAGCCATATCTCCAGTCCCACTGCCCCCCCCCCTTTTTTTGAGACCTGAACATGCCTTCAGGGCATTTCTTGTTTGGCAGGTGTATCTGGGTTCGAGCCAGTGCAACTTGAGCCTTACTGCTTTCCTTTTTTTCTTTTTTGGAACCGGGGATTGAACTCAGGCCCTTGTCCTTGCCAGGGAAGCACTTACTCCACTGAGCCATCTCCCCGGCCCCCCACTGCCCTTTTTTAAGACAAGTTCTAGCTATGTAGACTAGGCTTGATTTTAATTGATAACCTTCTGCCTCAGCCTTCCAAGTGCTGGAGTTATAGGTGTGTGCTACCATACCTAGGTCCAGCTATTGTTTGCTTTGGGGACAGATCTTGCTGTGTAGCCCAGGCTGGCCTCATACTCATTGTGATACTCCTGCCTCAGCTTACTGAGCACTGGGATTGCAGGCATAGACCACTGTACCTGGTTCTAGCCAATTTTAAGAATTATTTTCAGATAATGTCTTGCTAAGTTGCCTAAGTTGGCCTTGAACTTCTGATCCTCTAGCTTCAGTTTCCCAAGTAGCTTGCATTACAGGCATGTTCATCACACCCAGTTTATTTGCTCTTTAATAGAAGTTTATTCCTGAAGACCCCCAAATCCTCCTAGGACCAAGAACTATGAATTTCATGAATATTTATGATAAAGCATAAGCACTCTTGATATTTGGGCCATACTTAAACTTCTCAAGGAACATTATTCTCCTTTTTTTTTTTTTTTTGCCAAATAAATGGATGTGTCATGCCTTAATCTTAAAACACACCAGAGGTAGAGTACTGATTTATCAATTTAATGTATGGAAGTGAAGATGGAGGCAAATGTTTGCTTCCTAAAATATAGTGATTGTCTTTTTTTAAACTTTTCTTAGGATAGAGAGATGAATTACCAGCAGAATCCTAGAGACAACTTACTTTCTTTGGAGGACTGCAAAGACATTGAAAATCTGGAGTCTTACACAGATGTCCTGGATAATGAGGGTACTTTAACCTCAAACTGGGAACAGTGGGACACATACTGTGAAGACTTAACCAAGTACACCAAACTAACCAGCTGTGACATCTGGGGAACAAAAGAAGTGGATTACTTGGGTCTTGATGACTTTTCTAGCCCTTACCAAGATGAAGAGGTCATAAGTAAAACTCCAACTTTGGCTCAGCTTAATAGTGAGGACTCTCAGTCTGTTTCTGATTCCCTCTATTACCCTGATTCACTTTTCAGTGTCAAACAAAGTCCCTTGCCCTCTTCATTCCCTAGTAAAAAGATCACAAGTAGAGCAGCTGCCCCTGTATGTTCTTCAAAGACTCTTCAGGCTGAGGTTCCTTTGTCAGACTGTGTCCAAAAAGCAAGTAAACCCACTTCAAGCACACAAATCATGGTAAAGACCAACATTGTTCATAATGAAAAGGTGAACTTTCATGTTGAATGTAAGGACTATGTAAAAAAGGCAAAAGTAAAGGTCAACCCAGTGCAACAGAGCCGGCCCTTGCTGAGCCAGGCTCATACAGATGCAGCGAAGGAGAACTACTGTGGAGCTGTAGCAAAGAGACAAGAGAAAAAGGGAATGGAGCCTATTCAGGGTCATACCACTCCCACTTTGCCTTTCAAAGAAACCCAGGAACTATTACTCAGCCCCCTACCTCAGGAGGGTCCTGGGTCAGTTGCTGTAGGAGAGAGTAGCAGCCTTTCTACAAGCATGTCGATCTCAGATTCATCCCAGAAAAAAGAAGAGCACAATTATTCTCTTTTTGTCTCTGACAACGTGGGTGAACAGCCAACCAAAGGTAATCCTGAGGACGATGAGGAAGATGAGGAGGATGTTGATGATGAGGACCATGATGAAGGCTTTGGCAGTGAGCATGAACTCTCTGAAAATGAGGAAGAAGAAGAAGAAGAGGATTATGAAGATGACAAAGATGATGATATTAGTGACACATTTTCCGAACCAGGTATTATATAACACTTGGATGCTTATTAAGCTGACCTGTTGTTGTTTTGAAATAGCAAGTTTTGGGGCTGGTGAGATGGCTCAGTGGTCTAAAGCACCTACTTAGAACAAGCTAAGCTTAGCAAAGCACAGGGACCGCGGTTCAATCCCTCAGCACCATATGCCAGCCAACCCCGCCCCCTGGTGGGCTGAGCTGGCCACACACACACAAATAAATTTAAAAAAAATTAAAAAAAAAAAAAAGAAATAGCAAGTTTTGTTTTAATGGTTGCATTGTTTTATTTGAAGGATGCTAGATGAGTTAGTAGCTTGACTTGGATATATAATTGCTTTTTTTTTTCTTTTCTTTCTTTCTTTTTTTTTTTTTTTTTTTTTTTATTCAAACAGCTCTAAAATGATCACTTTTGCCCCTATGGTAGTTCATATGTTAGCTCCCTGAGAGCTTGCTGTTGTCTTACATTGTGACCTAATTGGTCACTCTCTTGAATGGTTGTGCAAAAGTCCAACAAGTGTTCTCTTAATATGTATTCCTGTTTATGCACATGCCCATTAGGAGTATCTAAGATGGTGAACCAAGTGATGATGGTTCACATTATTCATTCCTAAAAAAAAGCCTACTTGTTGAATAATATAAAGCAAGCATTTTGTTTATATGTGCAGCATTTCATTTCTACATTCTTAAGAAAACACATGCTAAAATATGATAAACATGAAGGAGGTTCTGATTTACTAGTACTGTATATAGTGTGCATAAGTAAAAGGGCAAAAGAAAAATGAAACCCGTGGGAAACTGGTTCACATCAGCACTTGAGCTATTGCCACTAGTAGGCTGGTATAGTTTATTTATGAAAATGGCATTGCTAGTGGCTTGTAGTTTAAAATATGTAAAGAAGTAAAGATCTTCGAATTTAAGCAAAAGTTACTTGCTTCAAAAATAGTATTAATACTAATAATTCTTTATCAGTAGATTATTTTATTTTATTTATTTTATTTTATTTTATTTTATTTTATTTTATTTATTTTATTTATTTTATTTTATTTTATTTTATTTTATTTATTTTATTTTATTTTATTTTATTTTATTTATTTTATTTATTTTATTTTTTTTTATTTTAATTTTTTATTTTATATTTTATTTATTTTTTTCGGAACTGGGGATTGAACTCAGGCCCTTGTGCTGTCCAGGCAAGCATTTATTCTACTGAGCCATCTCCCCGGCCCCCAGTAGATTATTTTAAAATAAACTTTATAAATTATCAAAAAGAACCCCACCTTCCCTTCCTTTGTGATACTTAAGAGTTTGAGCCCTGGGCTTTCCATTGAATTATATTTATAGCCCTTTTATTTTTAATACATGATCTTGTTTAGTTGCTCAGGCTGGGGTCAAACTTGGGATCCTCCTGTCTAAGTCTCATAGAAGGCTAGCATTACAGGTGTGTGCCATTGTACTGGCTTCAAAGAGAGCCTTTTTGTGTTTTGATTGCTAGAATTTCAGGGAGTCTAATACTGGTATTTAATATTGTGGAGGATTTTTAAGGTATGCTAACTATATTGTAACTAGTGAATCGCTAATCTTACTTGAAGACTTTACTTTTGGTTAAATCTTTTTTTTTTTTTTTTTTTGCGGAACCAGGGATTGAACTCATGCCCTTGTGCTTGCCGGGGAAGCGCTTATTCTACTAAGCCCTCTCCCTGGCCCTTGGTTGAATCTTTTAATACATGCAATTGATAGAAATAAGTTCCTTGATTTGGATGGAATTTTAAGTAAAAGATAAAAAGGGAATATGCCCTTTCCTTTGGTTTACTGAAGTACTCTAGAATTTAGATAGAGCAGTTATCTTTTCTACTTTTAGGAAAGTTTTTATGTTGGCGTACTGCATTGAAAGCTTTAAAGAAAACTTGTCTTGGCAAAAAGGGAAGGTTTTATAGCTCCCTCACTGAGAAGGTAATAATGCCATCTGTGTAGTCCTTAAAATCTGGTACATCAGTTGAGAGAGAGTGTGTGTCTGTTTTATAGTGGTGTCTATTGTGTGTACTGGCCTTGAACTTGGGGATTCAAATGATCCTTATTTATTTATTTATTTGTTTATTTATTTATTTATTTATTTGCAGTACAAGAGATGTATTGGGACCTTGCACTTGCCAGGCAGGTGCTTATGCCGCTGAGCTATCTTCCCGACCCCAAATGATCCTTTTTGCCTGGGACTACAAGTGCATGCTCCTTTGCTCAGCCAGTCTTATTAAGTTGACTCCGATTTAGGATTAGTTTAGAAGGACAGAGGAAGAAGAGACAAAGAAAAGATAGGAAATTATAAGCTGGTACAAATCCCACCATCACTAAAGCAAGAAAAGTCCATACTGTTCAACCATTTTGTAAATTCTCGTCAGCCTATTGTGGTGGCACAAATCTGTAATCTTAGCACTTTGGAGAGTGAGGCAGGATTGCTGTGAGTTTGAGCCCAGGCAAGGCTAACCTGAACTATGTTGTGAAACTCTGTTTATATTTAAGATACTTAAGATTCCTTTGAGTTTCACAAATTTGGATGCTTGTTTTCTTTTCCAGTTGATCATTTTTTTAAATGAACGTTCTACCCCTTACTCTTTTTCTGTTTCATCTGGAATTTCTATATTGTTTCACTTGATGGTATCCCTTAAGTCCTGTCACCTTTCTTCAGTCTTTTTAATTTTTATTTCTTGTTTCTCTAATTGAATAATTGCAAATAACCTGTCGTCTGAGTTTGCTGATTCATTTCTGTTTGATCAAGTCTGCTTCTATTGAAGATTTGGAATTTTTCAGTTTTAATTAACTTTTTCAGCTGTAACACTTCCACTTGTTTCTTTTTTATGGTGTCTCTTTGTTGAATTACTCATTTTGTTCATGTATTATTTTCCATATTTTGGTTTAGTTACCTGTGTTTTTTATAATTCACTGAATTTTGACAGGACTTTTTTTTTTTTTGCAGAACTGGGGATTGAACTCAAGCCCTTGCACTTGCCAAGGAAGCGCTTATTCTACTGAGCCATCTCCCCAGCCCCGACAGTACTATTTTTAATAGTATGTCAGGCATTTCTTAGATTCCCATTTATTTTTAGGTCAGTTACTAGTGTTTTATTTTTGTTCTTTAAAAATCTACATATCTCATCTAGTCTTTACTGACTTTGCCATGGAAAGCCCTTCAATAATTCTATTCAGAGACTGATAGAAAGCTAGCTGGTGGGGTCCATATGCAAGCTTGCTGCTATAGACATGGAGTGCCCTGGCCTTTTGCCTGAGTCATTGGGCAGTAGAACTTGATGCCTAGGACCACAGGAGGTGGCCTGGTGCCTGGGTTCATGGGTACCAGTCTGAAATATGAGTTCATAGTACCCAGCCTGACACAGAATGGGTATAGGTCCTGGTTCCATAGAGGCCATTCTGGGACTTAGAGCCTAGTTCTGTGGCATTGCCTCCTGCATCCCCAGAAGTATCTTGGCGCTTGGGGCTGATCTTTTTTTTTTTTTAAACTCTATTTTGTCTTTTTTCAGGGTTTTTCTGTTTACTCAAGCTTGGCCTTTAACATGTTCCGGCTGATTGGAACCACTGGTGGTTTAGTATATGCATCACTGTTCCTCAGGCAGCTTGTATCATTGGTATAGTTTGTACTACAAATCTATCTAATCATATTATTAGTAGTATTTTTACTGATAAAATTAATAAAATAGAACAATCATGCATGTACCACCAGTTGGTTCAAGTTGCCTAGAAGCTTCCTAATTCACATGGAAGCAAGACATGTGAATTAGAGCCCTGATGTAAATGGGTGGCAAACCTACTCTCTATCCCAGGGTAGCCTTGCATTTGCAGTTCCCCTGCCTTAGCCTCTCAAGTACTGCAGCTGCCTGGCCCTTTCTATGAGTTTTAACTTCACTTAAAATTCATCCTTGATCTTTTCACTTGGTTCTATCTGGATAAATGTGTTACAAGATGAGGAGGTCCATGAAGAGTAGTCACATGGTGAATTGACCCCTATTTCCGTAGGTCCCCCCCCCCCCCGCGCGCCTTTTGACTTATATAGGGAAAAGGAATAAATTTCATAGTTGGCCTTGTCCTGTCAGGCCACATCCTCCTCCCACATATCTCAGAATAACTCTGGTTCTTTAGCAACTAGCCAGTGGTGTTAATATTAGCTGGCACTTAACAGGATCAAATTCTCTTTTTGGGCCTATTTCATAATGTTGACTGTTTGGATGGCATTTAAATTTATTCACTTCCAAATGACTTGAAGTACAATGCTTTTGGTTATTATTACTTGGACAACTCACAGATGTTGATGTTAATGCTTTAACCGTAAAATTAACACAACTTTATTATTTGGGCTTTACCCACATTTACTAATGAAAATTTTCCTTTTTCTTGAAAGGAAGAACTAAACAATCAATTGCAGGGATGCAAAAGTAAGTTATTGGTCAGAAAACTGACACAAAATCTTTGAATCAAAAAGGAAGGCTAGATCTTTCAGAGTGCTGGTTTTAGAGTGGGTGATTGGTTTAATTTGTAGCTGGTGGTTTACAAGGGCTCTTTTATGATGACTGGCTCCCTTGATGCTGTTTCTTGGCAGATGACTACAAGAGTTCATGAGACTATGGAGTTCCAGGAAAGGTGCAAAATAGAGTTTCAGTCCCCATTTCTGGAGAGACTGCCAAATTTTAATAGAGCCTATTTTGTAGACAAGGTATGACTGTTTGGGGTTGTGAGATTGCATGGTTCTAAGACCAACAGTTGGGCCCCTAGAGTGAGTTTATTTGTAATCCCCACTAAGCCTTTTCACAGTTGACTTTACCAGTTTAATAGCAGTAGTCTGTAATAACCAGTGATGGGAATTTTAGACAGTAAATGACCTTTTTGACCTTCTTTTGGTAATCATATCAGAAAGAAATGAGGGGCTGGAGAGATAGCTCAAGAGAATAACTGCTTGCCTGGCAAGCTCAAGGGCCTGAGTTCAATCCCCGGTTCCACCAAAAAAAAAGAAAAAAGAAAAAAGAAAAAAAAATGAGATTCATCATTATACTGAAATATGAAACAAAAAAAGGAAGAAAAGAATCCGTGGAAAATAGTGCATTAATTTACATTTATGAAAAACAAAAAAACAGTGCAACTTGCTGCCAGCATTTAATGTTCAGCAATCAAGAATGATGATATTGGGCTGGGGAGATAACTTAGCACCATCGTGCCTTCCTGGCAAGCACATGGTCCTGAGTTTGATACCCCTTAGCTCCCAAAAAAAAAGAATGATTATATTTTATAAATGGAAATACCACTGCTAAGATGGGAATGATACATAAATAGAATGTTGTCATTTGTTCTCAAAGACTATTGATGTAGCAGGACAATGTGGAAATAATAAATGTGAAAATGATAATAAAAGCAAGGTATTTCATGGTAAACTTTGAGATGAAGTTAGGGCAGTGTCTCACTTATTCTTCTGTCCTTGTTGGGACAAATAACCGACATCCAAAGTGAAGGAAGGAAAGGTTCATTCACCTCACAGTTACTGGAGGTTTCAGTCTATAGTTGGCTGGCTCCAAGGCAGAGTGGCACAAGGCAGAGAACATCAGTTCATGGTGGTGGCAAAGAGCAAGAGAAGCCAAGGGAGGAATAGCAGCAACAACGGCAACAGAGAGGAAGTCTGTCTGTCTGTCTCTCTTCTGTTACGTTTAGGTTATCCACCCTAGGCTGGATGAACAGCCACACCCATAATCCTAGTGGATCATGAGTTAATCTCAAACTCTAAAAGTCCCTGCCCCATGACTGCATGAGGCTTTGTGGGGACAACTAGACACAAACCATAACAGACTATAATCCATGAGTTATTTTAGGGTAAGGACTGCAGCTAGAAGTGCTGCTGGAAAGTATTCTGAGGCAAGTGAGAAATGGCTTAAACAAAATCATGAAGTTTTTAAGTGTGTTCGAGTTAGGTACTGTTGGATATTAGATGTATAGAGACAAATGGGTTTACTGACAGTGATGGTTTCTGGTAACCTTCCTACACACACAGTGTCAGAGATTGAACCCAGGACCTCAGGTTGCTAGGCAAGTGCTCTGTCAATTACTAAGCTACACGCCCAACCCATTTCATTCTTTCATGCTTATGTATATTATTTGTCAAGAGGTGGATTCAGGGTCAGTCTCTTTTCTTTTCTTTTCTTTTTCTTTCTTTCTTTCTTTCTTTCTTTCTTTCTTTCTTTCTTTCTTTCGCTTTCTGTCTTTCTGGATTTCTGGCTTCTTGTGACAGGGTTTTGCTATGCTGTTCAGGTTGGCCTTGAACTCAACTTTGTCACCCAGGCTACCCTCAAACTCACAGTAACCCTCCTGCCTCAGCCTCCTGCTGGCTGGGATTAGAGGTGTATGCCACCATACTTGGCCAGATCGGAGTTTTTTATGTTATTTGACCACAGAATTCTCTCGGTTGTGAAGCTTTATCTTATAATAGTATTCCTTAAAACATACTTTGGAAAATATGACCCTAAATAGTATTAGGCCTGGGGCTGGGGAGATGGCTCAGTAGAATAAGTGCTTACCTGACAAGCGCAAGGCTCTGAGTTCAATCCCTGGTTCCGCTAAATAAATAAATAGTATTAGGCCAGTGATCTGATAGTGTATTTTTTTTTGTATTTAACTTAATCATTGTAGTCTCTATACTGAATAATGGATGGTTTAGGCAACAAATCCTCTGTGTGTGTGTGTGTGTGTGTGTGTGTGTGTGTGTGTGTACTTGTGTATGAGGGGGTCACAGAGAAGAAAGGGAGACAGAGAGACAGATGGTAAATTTATGGTGTATGCACCTAGAAAATATTGATAGAAAACTGTTCCTACTTGGCAAAAGACATAGGTAAGTAAATAAAACTAGTAATTAAATTGGGTGAGACAAAAGAAATGCAGATTTTCCTGAGTCTTTGAGCTTAACATGGCAAATACATGAGTAAAATCCAGTCAGGCCATTGAAGAAAGTAGAGACTAGAAAAGTGGGAAGTCCATTTGAGTCACCATTGCTTGATTCAGTACCAGCTCTTTCAGACCATGTCATCCCATGGTGAATATGCTCATGTGCTTAAATGGGATTACTAACTTCTTTCTCACCAGGTTCTTAGAAGTCCAATGATGCACAGTATATGAGTACATGAAATGAAGGAGATTTTTTTTTTTTGTTTTGTTTTGTTTTCTGTATTTAAGGCAGGGTTTTCTTAGGCAGATGCAGGGGCTGGGGGTTCAATCCTGCCATAGTGGTGCATGCCTGTAATCTCAGCTCCTGGGAGGCTGTAAACAGGAGGATCGCTACGAGTCCATCTGGTAGTGAGACCCTGAACACCCTATGAACCCTTCCCTAAAATACAAAAAAAAAAAAAAAAAAAGCTCAGCGGATTAAAGCACCTGCTTGGGCAGCTGCAGGGGCTGAGGGTTCAATCCCCAGGCCTGCGGTGCTGGCCCCTCTCCCAAGGCACGCTGAGATGTGGTGACGCATGCCTGTAATCCCAGTACTTGGGAGGCTGTAAACAGGAGGATCACTACTAGACCTTGTAGACCCTGTACTAAATCTATAAAAGTAAAAGTAGTATCATTTGTATATCATTGTTCAAGAACCTAAGTCATGTCACAGTGCTTGCCATATTCTTTTAAAGTACCACACATGCACTGATTTAACACAATAGTTGTGTTCTACATACATTCCAGTTAATGATGAACCACATATAGAATATATACACCTCAGCCTAGGTTTGTGTGCAGACAGCAGTGAAGTCTTAGAATAATACATTTCTCAGATATTTTACCATGATGTTAAACAACATATGAGTACACTGTAAATGCCAGCAATGCTACAAAAAGTGTGTTTTACCATTGGGTAGAAACTATTCTGCTCGCCACATTTGTTCTCTTGTTTTTCAGGCATATGCTGCCACCATGCCTACCTTATCCTTTTTTAAAAAAATTATGTTTATTGAGGTATAAGTGTCACACAAAGTTTACTCCTCTTGTAATATATCCTTATATGAGTTACTTTGCAGTACTCTGGTGGAAGTTTGACAAATGTATATCATACGACCACTTCTTTTTTTTTTTTTTTTTTTTAAGGAGCAGAATGTATTTATTGAAGGAAAGAAAGCTCCTGTCCAAGAGAGGGACAGGAGGAGGCCCAAGCGGGTTGTCCCCTCGTATAACCACTTCTGTAATCAAGATGTAGAATAGTTTAGGCTCCCAAATTCTCTCATTTTTCTTTGTAGTCATCCCTTTCCTCCCAACTGCAGGTAACCACTGTCTCTATGGTTTTGCCTATTCCAGAAAGGTGTATAAATGGAATACTAAACTCCTGATTGGTTCTTACTTCAAACAAAACTTGGTAGAATTCTAAAATTCAGACTTTTCCCCCCAAAGTGCCAGATTTCATCACTTTCTTAACAACGGTTCCAGGCAAGTCATGTTTTTAGGAGGAGAAGATGGCCATTTTCCTGGCCAGTGCCTCACAGTTTTTCCTAGCTACTTTTAAGTTTGGGTTTGTGTGCATCCTATACACACCTTATTCTTTGTGTTCTTAGCATTAATGCTACACAGTTCACCTGAGACAGTCATTTTCTGAAGTTATTTTAGCTTTTAGGTTATCCTGTGTTGAGTCTGTTCAACAATTTGAGCAGATCAAAGTTTAAGTATTTTCTAGAGTTTCTCATTAGAAGAAAAAATACCTTCTTAAAAGTGAAATAGACGGGCCGGGGAGATGGCTCTGTGTAATAAGCACTTCCCTGGCAAGTGCAAGGGCCTGAGTTCAATCTCCAGTTCCGCCAAAAAAAAAAAAAAAAAAAAAAAAGTGTAATAGCAGGCCCAGCTTGGGTGACTTAGTGAGACCCCGTCTCAGAATAAAAAGTTTAAAAAGCATTAAACGTATAGCTCAGGACAAAAAATCCTTGGTTCAGTCCGTAGTACCATCTAAATAAATAAATACAAGTTGCTTCTAATAAAGTATTAGCCAGAATAGACATAAAAGTTTTATTTGCTAGACTGGGTCAGAACTGTCTTTTGTACTTTTCCAAAAGGGTGGTGTGGGAGATAGGAAGAAAGCCATTGCTCCCTTGCAAAACATTGCCACAATATGGGGCCGGAGAGATGGCTCAGTGGAATAAGTGCTTCCCTGGCAAGCGCAAGGGCCTGAGTTCAATCCCCGGTTCCGAAAAAAAAAAAATTTGCCACAATAGAAGGGGAGAAATGCACACAGCTTACTCTCAGATGTTTTATATGTGTAAATATTAAAAGGACATTTTGAGCCGGGGAGGTAACCCAGTAGAATAAGTACTTGCCTGGCAAGTGCAAGGTCCTGAGTTGAATCCCCAGTACTGCAAAAAAAAAAAAGGACATTTTAAGGTCATAGTTTACTCTCTAAGTGCCATTATATAATGGTACCTTTGACATTCTGGAAGATATATTTGTTCTTTCAATCTCATACCAAAAGAAAGTAGCATGTACTAACTTACAGAAACCAAAGAGAATCCCAAGGAAGATAAACCCAAGAATTCAAGTTTGGGCCAGCAAGATAGCTCAATGGTCTAAAGCACCTGCTTAGACAAGTTTAGGCAGCCACAGGGGACCACAGTTTGATTCTGGTACCACAGGTCTTGCCAACCCTGCCCTCATGGTGGGCTGAGTTGCCCCCCCCCCAAAAAAAAAGGCTTGATTAATCCTGAATATTTTGTGAAAGATACACATGGTGATTTACTTTATTGCTTACTAACCGATTGTGTTAGTGCCACTGGAGCTTCCTGATTTACTTTAGAGACCTGATTTATTATCTTTGACTGCTAATTATCTTTGAGGTTTTCCAAATGAAAGAAAATGTCTCAAGTTATAAGAGGAATCTTTTTGATTGTTCTGATTGTTTTTTTGAAGTTTGAGGGATTTAACAATTTGAGGGACCCTTTTTAAGGTTATGAAAATGATTCTGTAGAAGACTTGAAGGAGATGACGTCAATATCCTCTCGGAAAAGAGGTAAAAGAAGGTACTTCTGGGAATATAGCGAACAACTTATGCCATCACAGCAAGAAAGGATTCTGAGGCCATCTGAATGGAACCGAGATACCTTGCCAAGCAATATGTATCAGAAAAATGGCTTGCATCATGGTAAGAGAAAGTTGCTGTTGAATATTTAGTGTCTTATTTATTCTTTTGAGACAGGGTTTCACTATGCAGCTCAGGCTGGCCTTGAACTCACTTTGTAGCCAAGACTGTAGCCATCTTCTTGCTTCAGCCTCCTGAGTGCTGGGATTACAGGTGTGTGGACAGCCTCAGTGTCATTGTAAATGGAAAGATTGACCCATAATTTTTACTCGGTATACTTGGATTTTCAGCCCTTTGTAGCCAACTAGAAAGGGAAATAGTAGGGCTGATGTATGTGCCATGACTACTCTCTGCATACAGTGTCAAGAGCTAGCACTTGTTTCATAACCGGTCCCTTCTCCTACCTACTTTACTCAGGAAATGGCTGGGAAGCTGCTGACTTCTCATAGCTGCTGTCGGGTTGAGGAGAAAGCGAATGGGTTTCAGCATCCCTCTCCTATTCTCCATTCCTCAAAACTAAATCTAAATGAAGATACCGAAATATAGAAAAAAGGAAGGGTAAAGAAAAGAAAGCAGACCTTGATCCAGGCCTTCATCAGGCCCATGGCCCAGGTGCAGGCTTGGTGTGGTCACCCACCTGGACACAAAACAATGCAGAGGAGCTCTGGCCCACTAGTGCCATTACATTATTTTGGCTATGGCTATGCCACCCTGGTTGCTGCTGGTGGGATCATTGGCAATGCAAAAGCAGGTAGTGTGCCAAGCCTGGCTGCTGGGCTCCTTTTGGGGAGCTTAGCAGGCCTGGGGGCTTAACAGCTGTCTCAGGACCACAAGAACATTTGGGTTTCCCTAGTTTGCTGGTCATTGCTAAAATTGAACTGAATGTGTTGAGCAGGCCATATTCATAGCGCTCACATCCAGCTTGAACTCAGAAAGAATTACACATCTCCAGACTTGAACTTTTAAATGTATTGAAGCAATGCAGAACATGTACATACTTTAGCAGTTTACTTAAAACAACTGAACTTGGTGAGGAAAGCGTCATTCACTAGCATCACACCCTTCAGAGGTGGCTGTATAAGCAGAGAGCTCAGCGATGCCTTCACACGGTTGGGTCTTCTGTGGCAAGCCCACCTCTTGTTTCTGTATCAGTAGTTAGAAATCTTAGTAAGATGCTAGCGTCAACACTGGGGCCCCAAAGCCTCATGCCCTGCTCAGAACATTATGAAAATCTTCTGGTGTGTTCTTTTGCTCGTCTTAGAGCACAGATCTGTTTTGAAATTATGTTAAATGGATAATAAAAATAAAATTTATTATTAATAGCAAAAAAAAAAAAAAGAAAAGAAAGCATACTTGTTGAAAAAGGAGTGATGAGCGTGGTGACACATCTCTGTAATCTCAGTATTCTGGGAGACTGAGATAGGAAGATTGCAGCTTCAAGCCCAGTGTGGGTAATTTAATTTTTTAGCAAGAATTTCCCTGTCTCAAAAAAAAAAAAAAAAAAAAAAAAAAAATGGGAGTATAGCTCAGGATGGAGGCTCAATATGAAGGCCCTGAATTCAACCCCCAATATCATGGGGGGAGGAAAGAGAGAGAAAAAAGAGGGAAGAGAAGAGTTAAATAATAGGAATCACTAGATGCTTATAATCTTAGATAGGTTAAATTTTTACTTGTTAATCCAGAAAGATTAAATAGAATTCACGAAAGTGATCTTTACATTAATCCAAAATCATTACTAGGGCGTGGCAAATAGCTCAGTGGCTTAAAGTGCCTGCTTAAGGGGCTGGGGTTTTATCCCTGAGCCTTCCCTGCCAGTGGTGCCCCCAGGGCGTGAGGAGATGGGCATTGAGACGGGGCATGGTTGTACGTGCCTGTAATCCCAGCGCTTGGGAGGCTGTAAACAGAGTCCGATCTAGTAGTGAGAACCTGAACACCCTGTAGATCCTCCCCTAAAATACAGAAAGAAAAAACAAAACAAAACAAAACAAAGTCTTTATTAAAAAAAGCAGAGGGGAAGTATTAAGTTTCGTGCTCAATAAGCAGTTTAGTATTTACAAATTCAAGTTGCTAAGCATGTTTGAGGACAGGAATTCTATCTAAGTATGTTTATGCCTCAGTTTTTCTGTCAATCAGTACTCAGTTCTGTACCGTATTACCTCTTCATGATTATGAAATTTTTATATTCAATAAAGTTTTCTACCAAAAATGAAAAGGATTCTAAGTAGCTTGTGAGTTCTAGGAAAAGACAGTGTGATGGCGAGCCTTTTAATAGCTTTCAAGAATACAAACAGCCCTCTATGGCACATGTGCCGCAGACTTGCCACCATAGCTAGTTAAATTCAGAGTAGGAGTACACAGCCATTCCTTCTCCCTGGAATGATAGGGCAAGACTACTGGAGTGTTCTGTAATGTTACTTATCAGAGAAGTTGAAGAATGTTCAAACAAGGTGATTCTTATTTGTTGGAGTTTTGAGCCAGCATGAAATATGTATGTCTCACAGATTTTTAGTTGCAGCATCAAAACATCTTTGGGTAAAGTGTCCAGACTGTCTTCTGGACTACATATTATACTTCAGCCCAGATTTTTGTGTGCACTTGTATTCAGTCCTGAGATTTGAGATGTTTAGTATTGCTATGAAAGGAATTAAGAGCCGGGCATGGTGATGAATGCCTGTACTCCAGCACTTGGAAAGCTGAGACAGGAGGCTCATTGTGAGTTCAAGGGCAGCGTGAACTTCATAGTGAGACCCTGTCTTTAAAAAAGAGAAAAAAAGATTGAAAAAAAAAAAAAAGATTGAAAATCTGTTTTACTGGGGTTAGAAACCTAAGAGTAGTGAAGAACTAGGAAAAATTTAGAACAGTGAACTGTCACCCCTCTTTGTGTTTGTGGTGCTAGAGATGGAACCTAGAGCCTTGAATATGCCAGGCAAGTGTTCCACCACTGATATACATTGACAGCACACCCCTATCCACACATAGACAGGAGGCTAGTCCTTCTAGATTGGGTTTGTTCAACATGCCAAGATTTCAGAAACATGACAATATTTGACCTCACTATATAGTCCAAACTGGTCTTGAACTCACAGCAATCTTTTGCCTCAGCCTCAGGATTGTGCTGGGATTATAGGCATGTGCCACTATGCCTGGCAAGACCTTTAGAAGACAGTGTTGTTAACTGTGGAAAATGTATCTATTGTTAAAACAAATAATCTGACTTTAACTTTTAAACTTTCTAAAGGAAAATACGCAGTAAAGAAATCACGAAGAACTGATGTAGAAGACCTGACTCCAAATCCTAAAAAACTACTCCAAATAGGCAATGAGCTACGGAAGCTGAATAAAGTGATTAGTGACCTGACTCCAGTCAGTGAGCTACCCTTAACAGCCCGGCCAAGGTCAAGGAAGGAAAAAAATAAGCTGGCCTCCAGGTAAATGCTAATAATGTTTACTCATGCAAATAGTCTAGGGGGTGAGATTAGCTTTTGAGTTTTAAAAGAATAGGTGACCTTTAACCATTACTCAAAAATATTTTTTTTCTATAAATACTATAATAAGAGTATTACACTTTTTCCTTTGAAAGTAAAATGTGTTATTTATGCTTCCTGGAAAAATTTTTTAAAGAGAGAACTAAATGGAATACAGTACAGTATAGTGTAACAGTACAGCACAGTATAACAATTTTTTTTTTTTTTTTTTTTTTTTTTTTTTTTTTGCGGAACGGGGGATTGAACTCAGGCCCTTGCATTTGCCAGGCAAGCGCTTATTCTACTGAGCTATATTCTTCTCGGCAATATAACAATTTTTGCAGCTTTAATTTTCATTTACTTTTTAGTGAGTCAGGTTTATTGAGGTCTCATTTACTTACAGTAACATTTACTCTTTCTAATGTACACTGTTAGGAATTTTTACAAACATAACCTGTCATATAACCACCATCATAATAGAGATACTGAACTTTTCATCACCTTAAAAAATTAATAAAGCATACCTCTTTTCCCATCCTCAACTTCTCACAACCAATTTCTTTTCTGTCATATGGGCTGCCACATAGATGGAATGTACTGTATATTTCCTTAGAATTGAATTTCTTTGCTTAATATGATACATTTGAGATCCATCCATGTCCTTATAAGGAGTAGTAGCTTGTTCTTTTATTATCGAGTAGTATAAACCCTTGTAGTTGTACACTACAGTTTATCTGTTTGCCAGTTAAAAGACTTTTTTGGGTTACTGCCAGTTTTTGGCAAGTATAATTAAACCACCACAAACATTGATTTAGAAGAGTTTGAACGTAAGTTTTTATTTCTGTTAGATAAGCTTAAGTGTATATGTTCAACTTTATACTGCCAAATTATCTCCCAGAGTAATTGTGTGTACTATTTTACATTTTCACGTGAACAAATGAGTGTTCCACAGTATTCACTTTAAATTCTGTATACTTTGAAGTGTCAGTTTGGACTTGTTTCTTTTGTTTTTTAGTCACCCTGATAGGTGTGTATTGGCTATAGCTTTACTTTTGAATGTCGCTTAATTTTTTAAAATGGATTAGGGTAAATTATTGTAACGTATTTTATAACTCAGACCCTTAATAAACATCACTATGCAGTAATTTTTGGTTGCTATAAGGACATGTGTAACAGTAGCAAAAAGTAGTATATTCTGAGTATTTTAAAAAGAAAAGTGAACTAATAGCTCCTTCTTTTTACAGAGCTTGTCGGTTAAAGAAAAAAGCCCAGTATGAAGCTAATAAAGTGAAATTATGGGGCCTCAATACTGAATATGGTAAACCTAAATGTTGAAGGATTTATTAACCTCTTATGAACTTTGCTGGATCTCTCTTGTTCTTTGCTTTTATAATTTGCTTGCTCTGCATTTTTATCAACTTCCTTTTTATTGATCCACTCAGAAAGCCACAAGCCCACATTCATTCATTCTTGCCTTCTTAGTGTATGGACATCTATATCTGAGGCTCCTTAAGCCAGTCTCATCACTACAGTGATTAAGTAGTCTGCTTATAACCACAGCCATTCTTCTGTTTTATAGTTGTGTTGATTACCCAATTTTGTTGACTTGTTTTTGTATTTTCCTTGATTTGAATATTTTAACCTTTGTGTGGCTAGTTTAGAGCTAGCTATGTTTCCACTGTTCAATGAAACATCTATGTACTTGTTAAAGTACAGTTTCCTAGACTTCAACCTGCATCTTTTGAATTGAAATTTCCCAGATTATTATTTTTTTCTTATGATACTCAGGATTGAATGTAGGGCCCTGTACATGCTGGGCAAGTGCTCTGCCAACTGAACTACACCCCCAGCGCTTTCATTTTTAAATTGAGTATCACTTATATAAGTAAAGGCAAATTCTTCCATGTGGGTGATGTTTCAACTCTTTTGTTTTGTCTTACAGATAATTTATTATTTGTAATTAACTCCATCAAGCAAGAGATTGTAAACCGGGTACAGAATCCAAGAGAGGAGAGAGGACCTAACATGGCGCAGAAACTTGAAATCCTCATTAAAGATACTCTTGGTAAGAATTTTGGGTAAATTCATACAAATAGTAGCATGTAGTATAAGATGCATGATTTGGGGAGTTAGTAAAAGTTCTTTTAGTTTAAGGCAATACCCACATGCTCTTATTGTACTTACTCTTTCTCCTTTTTGTTATGTTGGGGATTGAGTCAGGACCTCATACATGGTAGGCATATGCTCTGCCTTTGTGTTGTATTCCCAGCTCACACTTGTTCTCTTTTTCTTTACACTTACATTCTTTCATAAGTAGTTCTCTTTTGGTTGTTTTTTATTGTTGGTTCTGGCTTGGTTTTTTGAGACAGGGTCTCTATGTATCTCAGGCTAGCCTTAAACTCACTATATAATCTAGGTTGGCCTTGAACTCATGGCCGTCCTGCCTCAGCATTTTAGTTCTGGATTTTATGGATGGTTATATCTTTCAAGATTTAATGTTTCTAAATGTATACTGCTGGTTACTAAAATTTGTAATTTAGACTTAATCATTGTACAGTTTTAATGCTTAAGATAGATAAGCATTCAGCAACTTTAACCTTACATGGGATAAAACAGTGCTCTGAGATGCAAGCCTAGTTTGCACCTTTCTTGGCAGTCTCACGTATTTTGTTCAGTAATACATTTCACAAGATTCTAATAAATGTGGTTATCTGATTTGTCCTCCCTAAACAGTTGGCACACTATGGTGAAGATCAGTGAAGCACAGGCATCAGAAGCCAGGCCAGCTGATAGTGGATGGAGAGGAGATAGCAAGTGTGGACATAGGCATGAAAACAGTAAAGGCCTAGGAGCTTAGCTCCCATAGGAGCAAATAATCTTACAGATTAGTAGCATCCCAAAGGCTTTCCAATCTATGAAAGTCCAAACAATTAAATTCACAGAATAAAAAAGGCCTTGTGTTTGTCTTGAATAGAATTATACTGACCCTGAAAATGATTTCACGTGAAGAGTGGGTCCTATGTGTCAATATTTTCCTGAATTTATTTCCTAACCATTTATTTCCTATTTAATGTAGATTACTTAATTACTCAATCAAAACAAGAAGCAGTAATAATAAGTTTGCTTGACTTTTTTCAAATACTCTAATGGCTGTTTTAACGTTTTGGGTATTCTTTCTAAGATACTCTGTTAGGGGCTGGGGAGATGGTTCAGTAGAATAAGCACTTCCCTGGCAAGTGCAAGGGCCTGAGTTAAATCCCCAGTTCCACCCAAAAAAAAAAAAAAAAATGTAATATAAAAAGAAAATACTGGTTGTAATAGTTGTTTCATGTTGGGAGTGCCTATAATTGTGGTATTCTGAATATGGGCGGCTAGTCATGACATGCCAGTTACTGCTAAGATGTCTCTTGGGTAGGTGGATGTTCAAGAAGAAGGGGGTGGTGAATGAAAGCAAGAGACAGGAAAAGGAATATTGTGGGACTGTCCTGCTTCAAGGTTGTATATGATGAGATTTTTGGACTTATGTGCAAACATGAGAAGCATAGAATTCTTTATCCTATTTTTTAAAATATAATCTAATTTTTGAATGTTTTTTATCATATTATGTAGGGACTTAAAGTTCAACATATCAATACTTGATGAAAAATACCTGTTCCTTATTATGCCTAAGATGTTTGAAATGCAGTGAGATAGTGAGGTTAAGATTGATAGCCTAAATCATTTGATAATAACAATAAGCTTTTCTTCTGGATGGGTAACAACCTAAGTTTGCAGACCAAAATTAGAGAAAAAGGAGGGCTACAAGGAAAGCCAACTTTTTGGCCCTAGCCTTCTAAGGTCAATTAAGACTCAGGACATATGAGAACTTGTACTGTAACGTCATGTACCTCGGTAGTGTCCCAAATTTTCTGATCAAGAAGATTATGGGGCCAAAGAGGAAAGCGATCGATGACATAGAGTGGGCCTAAGGAGAGTCACATGGGGAGAAGACACTCTCTCAGGCTTTCACAGAGAGCACATTGGCCAAGCAATGGCCATGACTCATCCACATGGCTGCACTGATAAAGGTTCTACAATCTGAGGTACAGGATCTCAGGACAAATCCTGAGGGCATTTCATTGACCTTCTCAGACCAAAAAGCTACAACTCTCGTTGCACAGGTCCTGCTTTACCTTGGTCTTAACCATCCAGTAGAAAAGTATGAAGACGAAATATAAGAAATAAAGCCATGCTGTTAAGTTAAGCTGTGAGTGACTCAGGTCAATAATTTCTGTCATTGCCAGTTAAACAGAAGACCCAATGCTATTATGGGCTACTGGACTCTTTTAGAATATTTTGCTGAGTTTACACAGCTATAATATTCAGTAACTGAACTTAGGAAAAATGGGGTACACCGATGAATGTCCATTCTGTATCTGTGTATTCAAAGTGGTTGGGGTAGATATATAGTTGCATTGTCTTAATGAATGGAATGATTTGTTCTATTGGTGTTTGTAAATAGGATCACAAGTCCGCATCTTGTACAGCAATTAACCACTAAGAATAATATATGCTGTGTATTATTTGTTGAAACTGTACTTCCGATTTGATTTGAAACTGTCTCATTGCTATATGTTTATCAATAAAACTGTAGAAAAAAAAAAAAAAAAAAAAAAAAAAAAAAAAAAAAAGAAAATACTGGGCTGGTGAGATGGCTCGGTGGTCTAGAGCACCTACTTAGAACAAGCTTAGCTAAAGCAAAGGGACCACGGTTCAATCCCCAGCACCACATGCCAGCCAGCCCCGCCCCCTGGTGGGCTGAGCTGGACACACACACACACACACAAACACAAAAAAATAAAAAAAATAAAAAAAATAAAAAGAAAATACTTTTACTATTTCATTTATATTTAGTACAGTGTCTATAGGGTCTCACACAGATCAGACTCATAGTGATCACCCTGTTTTTAGCCTCCCAAGTGCTGGGATTCCGAGCGCATGCCACCACACCCAGTCTGAGTTACCGTGAGGGTAGGGTCGGCACAGCTTCCAGCAATTGGTAGTCTGATGATCTGTCTGGCTGGCCCTTAACCATTTCATTTTTAATTTAAACATTTCATATGTTGAGAAGTTTGTGTATTCCCTTTATACTTGAATGTCAGTTTTATTTACCCAGTAAAAAATCCTTGACTCATATTTTCATTCCTTGAATATGTTTCTCCAGTTTCTTAGCATAAAATATTTCTATTGCAAAACCAGTATCTACATTTTTATGTCACTTGTTTGCTGGTTTTGCCCAGATACCAAAATGATTTTTTACCCCCTGGATTTTGTTTTTTTAAATTTATTTTATTTTTATTTTTTTCCATAATTTTATTGAGAAACAAATAGCAATGAGACAGTTTCAAACCAAATTGGTAGGACAGTTTCAATAATTAACACATTGCATACATTCTTCCTAGTGGTTAATTTTTTACTTTTTCTTTAAGTCCTTGTTATTTTATTGAACTATGTTTAGTAATTTAGGGTTGATATTCTCACATGTGTACTGTATTCTTTCAGTATGTAGTTCCAGATCTTTTTTAACCTTGCCTCCTGGCAAGGGCCTGAGTTCAATCCTGGGTTCCGGAAAAAAAAAAAAAAAAAAGCACCTTGCCTCTCCTCCTCTCTCTTTTCTTTTTCTGTAATCTCAGCACTTGGGAAGAGGCAGAAGGATTGCTGTGAGGCCATCCTGAACTAAACTATATAACAAGACCCTGTCTCAATAAACAAAACAAACAAAAACCCAGTAGCATTCTAGCTTCACAGAAATCTTCCTTTTTTTCAGTAAACATTAAACATAACAGTTGGCTTTCTGAAATTCTCTTCTGCACCCTTACCCCCATTTTCTCTGGACCATATCTATCTTTTACATCTTCTGTAATCATGTTTTCATGCCAACCTCACATGCTCTTATCAGTGCTGGCTCTTCTGCAAAGTCTGACTGGCCAGTTTTCTGAATTCTTCGAGGCTTGGCTGTGGGTCCTTCATGTCTTAATGTGGGCCCCTTGAGTTCATCTTGTACTTTTGGGTTGCACAAAACCTTTCAGCTTCAGCTGCAGTTGTCAAGTTATCTTCTTTTTCTTCCTAGTAAATAATAACCTGCTGGCCATTTTAGATTTTTGTCCTCAGGTCCATTACTTCCTTTTCATTTATCTCACAAAAATACTGATAACGTGAAGTAAATGCTGATATTATTCAATTCTTAATAACCTTTGAATGCTAGGGTTCATGGAGGTAGCTTGTTACTTACCAGTGTTTTCAGGGGTTTGTTTGACCAGTTTATAGTGTTTCGTTTTGATGATGGAATTGGAGATTGAACCCAGGGCCTTTGTACATGCTAAGCTGCAAATTGCCCAAGTTGGGCTCAAACTTGGAATCATCCAGCCTCAGCTTCCCAGAGTGACAGTATTATAAGCATGAAGCATCATGCATAGCTTTCTTATTTATTTTTAAGAGACAGCCTTATTTTATTGCCCAAATAGGTCTCCAACTCCTGGGCTCAAGTAATTCTCCTGCCTCAGCCTCTCAAATAGTTGAAACTACAGCTGTGTACCTCCTGAGCCTGTTTTCCATGGACTCAGTTGCTCTGTTTCTTTTGGTGTTGCTGGAAATTGAACTCTGGGCCTTGAGCATGATAGGGGAGTGCTCTACCACTGAGCTATATTCTCCTCTTCTTTTGCTTTTTAAAAATTATGTATTTAGTACAGGGTCTCACTACACGGGTCGGACTTGAAGTGATCTTTCTGTTTTCAGCTTCCCAAATGCTGGGATTACAGGTTCATACCACCATGACCAGTCTGAATTGCTGTCTCAGCGTGCCCCAGGGGCGGAGCTGGCACAGCAAATGGGGAATCGAACCCCAGTCCCTGTGTCTGCCTAAACAGGCACTTTAGTCCTCTGAGCTATCTGCATTCCCTTATTTTTATATGGAAAAAATGGAGATTTAAAAAATTCTGCTGCTAGCTGGGCATGGTAGTGCATGCCTGTAATCCCTGCATTCAGAGGCAGAGGCAAGAGTTTACAAGTTTGAGACCAGCCTGCGCT